TCCAAAAAAAAAAAAAAATCAAAAATATCCATAACTCCCTCCTATTCTCTTCAAAACCTATAAATAGGGCCCCCCTACGCCTTTAGAAAACTTGCAACTTCTCTTTCTTTCTCCCTCTGACTCTCTGGCGGCTAAGGCTTCCGCTATTTTTGAGTGGGAAACTCGCCCTGCTCGAATTAGCGCCCCTCCTCTCGTGCAGGAGTTACGGGATTTCTCTTCCTTCCCCCACGACTTTCTGACGGTTGAGGTTTCCGCTATTTGCGAGCGAGAAATTTCCCCTTCTCGAATTAGCGCCCCTCCTCGCATGCAGGAGTTACGAGATTTATCTTCCATCCCCCACGGCTTTCTGGCGGTTGAGGCTTTCGCTATTTGCGAGCGGGAAATTTCCCCTACTCGAATTAACGCCCCTCCTCGCATGCAGGAGTTACGAGATTTCTCTTCCTTCCGCCACGGCTTTCTGACGGTTGAGGCTTCCGCTATTTGTGAGCGGGAAATTTTTCCTGCTCGAATTAGCGCCCCTCCTCGCGTGCAGGATTTACGGGATTTCTCTTTCTTCCTCCACGGCTTTCTGACGGTTGAGGCTTCCACTATTTGCGAGCGGGATTTTCCCCTGCTCGAATTAGCGCCTCCTCGCATGCAGGAGTTACGGGATTTCTCTTCCTTCCCTCACGACTTTCTGACGGTTGAGGCTTCCGCTATTTACGAGCGGAAAATTTCCCCTACTCGAATTAGCGCCCCTCCTCGCATGCAGGAGTTACGGGATTTCTCTTCCTTCCCCCACTGCTTTCTGACGGTTGAGGCTTCCGCTATTTGCGAGCGGGATTTTCCACTGCTCGAATTAGCACCCCTCATCGCGTGCAGGAGTTACGGGATTTCTCTTCCTTCCCCCACGGCTTTCTGACGGTTGAGGCTTCCGCTATTTACGAGCGGGATTTTCCCCTGCTCGAATTAGCGCCCCTCCTCGCGTGCAGGAGTTACGAGATTTTTAATGCCATTTGAGCGGAAGTTTACTGGCGATGGACGATCGAGTTGAAGCCCATTAGCAGTCAACGATCGAGTGTGGAGCCAAAGGAGAGAGTTCGAGTATGCGTTGCAAGTAGCAGTCGAGCGAGAAGCCGATGACGAGTAGTAGTACGATAGAAGTTCAACGTTGTGTAGAAGTACGATGTTGAGCAGGAGACCGACGAAAGTTCGTCGACGAGCAGAAGTCCGGCGACGAGTAGGAGTCCGCTGACGAGCAGAAGTCCGACGACAGGGAGAAGTCCGACGTCGGGTAGAAGTTCAACGTCAGGTAGAAGACCGACGAAAGTTCGTCGACGGGCAGAAGTCTGACGACGAGTAGGAGTCCGTTGACGAGCAGAAGTCCGTCGATAGGGAGAAGTCCGACGTCGGGTAGAAGACCGACAAAAGTTCGCCGACGAGCAGAAGTCTAACGACGAGTAGAAGTCTAACGTAGAGTAGAAGTTCAACGTCAGGTAGAAGACTGACGAAAGTTCGCCGATGAGCAGAAGTTCGATGACGAGTAGGAGTCCGCTGACAAGCGGAAGTCCGACGACAAGGAGAAGTCTGACGTCGGGTAGAAATTCAACGTCGGGTAGAAGTACAACATCGGGTAGAAGACCGACGAAAGTTAGTCGACGGGCAGAAGTCCGACAACGAGTAGGAGTCCGCTGACGAGCAGAAGTCCGACGATAGGGATAAGTCCTACTTCGGGTAGAAGACCGACGAAAAACCTGCAATGCAAAAATCCAGCGACAGGAGGGAATTCAACATGAGGTAGAAATTTAACTCTGCATAAAAGTCCGATGGAAGTCCATTGACGGTATTCTAGTGACGTTAACCAAGGATGTATAATCTATCCGAGGTTGTTTGTCAGAGCTTTTGCTCGATGATGTTAACCGATATTGGATCCGCCAATGATGTAAGACCTATCCGAGGTTGTATGTCAGAGCCCTGCTTGATGACGTTAACCTGTGTGGAAGAGGTCGAGAGAATCCACCAATGATGTAAGACCTTTTCGAGGTTGTATGTCGAAGCCTTTGCTCGACGATGTTAACCTGTGTGGAAGAGGTCGAGAGAATCCACCAAGGATGTGAGACCTTTCCGATGTTGTATGTCAGAGCCTTTGCTCGACGAAGTTAACATGTGTGGAAGAGGTCGAGTGAATCCACCAAGGATGTAGGACCTTTCCAAGATTGTATGTTGGAACTTTTGTTCGACAACGTTCACCTGTGTGGAAGAGGTCGAGAGAATCTACCAAGGATGTGAGACCTTTTCGAGGTTGTATGTCGGAGCCTTTGCTCGACGACATTAACCTGTGTGGAAGAGGTCGAGAGAGTCTACCAAAGATGTGAGACCTTTCCGAGTTTGTATGTCAGAGTTTTTGCTCGACGACGTTAACCTGTGTGGAAGACGTCGGGAGAATCCACCAAGGATGTGAGACCTTTCCGAGGTTGTATGTCGGAGCCTTTGCTCGACGACGTTAACCTGTGTGGAAGAGGTCAAATCGAATCCCCGGGGGATTGATTTTGCTTTGATTAGGAGGGGGCGAATGCCGCGTATATCCCGAATCAAAGGTGAAGACTGGTCTATCTTTAGACCGTTACTGCCTTTTTGAGGATGAGATTAAGACTTTGTCCAAGGAGTAGAAGCCCAGCAGGGGACTGTATAAGGCTTGTAATTGATTGGAAGTATCCTTGCATGTCGCTGGGATTTTCTCGAAATATCATCTTGATATATAAAGCATCAGAGGATCTTTTTGACCAGAATTGGGGTCAAAATTGCCCCCCCCCAGTCCGCATCTGATGCAACAGTGACTGATGTCAGCAAGTTGATAAGAGCGATCTTTTGAGATTGGAGCAAAAGTTGCCCCCCCCAGTCGGGAATCAAGTTCCCACAGACGGCACCAAACTGTTGCGTGCTAGAATATACGCGGTGGTAGAGTTTGTAAATTCGCGTCCTAGCGTTATACGAGTATTCAACACACAAGCAGAAAAGAGAAGTGAACACCAGGGTTTTTACGTGGAAAACCCAAAAAGGGAAAAAACCACGGGGCCTTGCCCTGTTGTAAAGTTCAACTAGTGTTTTTGTAGATTACAAATGGCTAATTCGTCGCACAAGTCGGGACAATCAGAATACAATTTATTTCTTCCAGGAAGTTTACAAAGTTCTGCAAATTCCCGGCATTTCCCGAAAATCCGGCAGAGTTCCGGCGTCTTCAGGCGGCAGGAAGAGCTCCGGCGGTGGTCGAGGAGGAGCTTCTTCCTTCTCTACCTTATTCTCTTCTTCTTCTCTCTCTTCTTCTCTCTCTTCACTTTAGTCCCCTTTGTGTAGAATGAGGGCTCTATTTATAGTTTTTCTGGAGTGGCATAGCCCGTAAATAGGCGTGAGATTAGGGGCGAATTGGGAGTGGTTTGAATGGATGGCCGATATCGAATCTTTTGATCATGCACCATTCGTTGGACATTTGGAGGCCTTAATGATGTCGGAATTCGACGATCTTGGGCTCGTTGGATTCATTTCGTCGAGCCGCTAGATTTGAGTATAAGCTCGTTAAAATCGGAGACCGTTTGGTAACTCAAATTGCGGTTTGAACCTTCCGACA